TCTCTTTAAATCAGCCAGACAGATCCTCCTCTTCCAGCTGATGACATCATAATAATGTCAACAGTTGGCAAACTACAGAAGGCTGCCTCTTTTCAGACAGTGATGGTCTGTCTTCCCAGAACATGGAGCTCAAAATTCCACTCCTCAAAACATGGGGACCAAACGGTAAGTATCACACAATGCAGAGGAAGTCTGTGGAGATGTCCATGGTTTGCCATTAAAAAAGCTGGTTTAAAAAAACAATGCAAAGAACGTTTTCCCTTTGAAGACGGCTCAAGCAGTACCAAAATTGCACAATTTCCCTGAAATCTTCTATCTTGAAAGAATACATCTACAGCGAATTTGTTCCAAAATTGGTTTGGAGAATTTATCTCCGAATTTGTTAATCAAATGGAAACTGACCTACGACCCTAACCTATGACAGGAGAGGCCAAAATTGATTTTTCAGAAGCTCCTCAGAGTTCTTGGATCCTATTCTGGGATGTTAGAACTGAAGCTAGAACCTCTGCACACAGAGTAAGTGTACTTTTACGCTTCTGCAGTGAGCCATTAACAAGGTCTCTGTGCACAGAATCTAGATCCCAAAGGTCGCCTCCTTCCAGTTGTGGCATTCTGGGTATTCTGTAACCTACCTGTGGAAGCTCACTTAAAATCCTAATGAGGCTGAGATCTCTCCTGATGCAATTCCCTAGGATGGGACCCCATACCAAACTTTCTTTCATTGTTAACATTAAAATTCCAATTTAATATTGGACCATGAAACGTGTGGGACAAATATATCTTACGGGACTCTGATCTTTCCCCAATTGTCCTCTCTAATGGGTTCTATCCTGATTTTTCCTCAAATCTTTGAATTACTGAAGAACGGCCTGATCATGTGAAGACTTGATTCAATCCAACTAGGCTCTAATATTGAGATTTTGAGTCAGACATCAGAACTGCATCCAATTTTGGTCACCACACTAGAAAAAGATGTTGAGAGTCTAGAAAAAGTGCAGGGAAGAGCAACCAGGATGATGAGGGGATTGGAGGCTAAAACATACGATGAACGGTTGCAGGAACTGGGCATGGCTAGTCTAGGGAAGAGAAGGACCAGGGGAGGCAGGAGAGCATCTTCCAATATTTGAGGGGCTGCCACAGAGAGGAGGGAGGCAAGCTATTTTCCAAAGCACCTGAAGGCCAGACAAGGAATAATGGATGGAAACTGACCAAGGAGAGATTCAACCTGGAAACAAGGAGGAACGTCCTGAAAGTCAGAACAATAAACCAATGGAACAGAAGTTGCCTTTGGAAGTTGTGGGAGCCTCATTGCTTGAGACTTTCAAGAAGAGACTGTACTACTACCATTTGTCAGAAATGCTGTAGGGTCTCCTGCTTGAATGGGGAGATGGAGTAGATGACCTGCAAAGTCCCTTCCAACTCTGTTCATCTGTTACTAATTGGAAAAACTAAAGGCCCCAGTTGCATTACACCACATTTGGTGCACGTGGAATCCAATCACATTTAGGTCCTGCCTTCATCGTGTTTGGATTTGGAAGTCAACCCCCTCTACACCCTTCAAAGACCAAGGATGGTCCTTCCAAGTACGTCAACCTGCGTGACGTAATGCAGCCCCGTTTTCAATAAACGTTAACTCTCTCGGTCCACGTTCCGTGGTTCAGCTTTGTTGCTTTCTCCTCACCGAGTCTCTCTCTCTCTTTATTTTTAATCCCTTAAAATTGAGCTGGGGCTGATTTGAATTTCACGCTACAGAACTATTTCTTTCTGTTTTGAACCACAGCCGTTTTCACTTAAAAACGAACCTAGCCGAGATATAATCTTCTTCTGTTTCTTCCTTTCTTCTTCCTTTTCCCTTTTTCCCTCTTTCTTTCTTTTCAAAGTAACAGAGGAGAGCAGATTATTTCGATTAGGAATCTGTCGGTGACAATTGTAAGCAATGTTTCTTCAAGAGTTCGGATCTGTAATTGTAGTTTTTATATTCCTTTCCAGCACGGTGTCAGAATTTTCATTTTCAAGGCATTATTGCCGAGGTAGCTTTTTAGCATTTTGAGCTCAGTATTAAAAACCAAGATAATCAGGAGCATCCACTCCTCTTTAATATTAGAACAAAGACCCCTGTAGGCACAATTAAGGTATCCTGAACATTAAAAGAACTGATCAAAAATTCCAAAAGATTCCCCAATATTTGATTTGGATAGACCAAGCATGGGTATATATTTTTGATGTGGGGGGGGAGGAGAGGAAGGCCATAGGTTAAACGTGAGTGTGATTTAATCATGCAAAGTGTGGTTAGATATGAAAGAAAGTGAAGCCGTGCATTATTTTTCTCTCTAGCAATCTTTTCCCCTCCTCCTTTTTCTCTCACACATCCTGTCCAGGAAGTAAGTTTGAAATTGGACTAATGGGAAGGACTTGATCGAAGTTTATATCAACTACGATGGTGCAATGCTTCAGATTCAAATGCTAAAAGACTTGGATCACACCTGGAGCATACTTTTTTAGCAACTTCTCAAATCCAATATATGTTTTCCTTGGATCGTCTCACCGTTATGAAAAGCAGGGACTTAACCTTGGGAAAAGATCACCTAACATTTCACATCCCATAGTCCAGTGCCCGGGAATTCATAGAGACTGAAGTGCAAAACATTCATCATTTTCCAGTTGGCCATCTTGACTAATTCTCCATCCAGGTGGCCTTCAGATACCTCAATTCCTTTTAGTGTTTAGCCATTACGTTTAACAGCTTGATATGTAAGGCCAGGGTCTTCTTAACTTCCTTTCTGTGCCTGTTAAGTATTTGTGGGCTCCTTCTATCTCTATCTGATTATTCCCAAGGCAGTATCACTTCCCCTGGTCCTTCAAGGGGATTCCCACAAAGAAATGTATCTTCAAATCGGGAGCCTCTTGATCTGCTAATGGTATGAATTGTTTTTGGGGTGATATATCATAAACCTGGGACTCTAAATGTGTCCTCTCAGCTGGGTCCCTTTTTCTCGCCCCATTTAACACACTACTCTCAGACCAGAGATATAAATTATGCAGGACTTGGTTGTTAACATATAACTGAATTAACAACCCCCCCCCCCCGTCACAGAATCTTTTAAAGTAATTTATAAACATCTTGAGAGTGGGCCATTTATTAGGTGAGGCTAGCAAATATTTTATTTTGATGGGAAAGTTTAAAAGCAAGCGAGCCACTAAATAATAAAAACAAATTAAGAGGCTCATTTGGAAATTAGTTTGAGGAATGGCTTCATCTGCCCAGGCCCACCGATCTTAATTATTTGTCTTCAATAAATATTGCCTAAGCTGCTTATTAATATTATACTTGCAGTGGTGAACTTATTCTGCGCAATGGCCGTATGTTTATGAAGTGGGAATATATCTTCCTGAATCTCTCCATCTCTGAAGGGACAACCTCTGGAGATTCGTAGCTACTGTCCTCGGCAGCCATTTTAACAGATATAGCAATAGCAATAGCAGCTAGACTTATATACCGCTTCATAGGGCTTTCAGCCCTCTCTAAGCGGTTTACAGAGTCGGCATATTGCCCCCAACAACAATC